CAACCTTCCAGACACAGAAGTCATCTTTAACAGATTAGAGAAAGCTCTGGCCTTCCACACATTGAATTCATTTCAGATTGTCACTGGGAGCATATCTTACACTACGTCTGACCTATCACATCCCCAAAAGCACCAAAAAAAATCTAATTTTTTTTTCTCCTTTATAGTTTGAATTCATCTGGGAAATTAAATAGAACAAAAGAGATGGACAATGCTGAATTCACTAAATAAACATTAAAATAATAACAAGTAATTTATTACAAACTCAAACAGATGCAGGGAAGAGGAAAAAAAAAGAAGAAAAGGAACACAAAAAGAAGGGTCTGGATTCCAGCCTAACTCAAGCTATCTTGACCCTTCAGTTAGGACCACTCAGATAGCTTCCTGTCTTTTCTTACCAACAACAGCGATTTGAAGGAGTAACAGGAGAGTGCTGGGGTGAAATTGTGTGCTATTCTTAGAACTGCCTGCTTTTTCTTCACTGTGGTGATGGCTTTTTTGTTTGCTTTTTTTTTTGGTTTGTTTTGGTTTGTTTTGGTTGGTTATTTTTTGTTTTTTTTTTTGGGGTGTGTGGGTTTGTTTTGTTTCATAGCATTCAGCTATTCTTTGTTGTACAGGAATAAAGTTCAGTCTTGAAAATATGCAAGAACAAAGCTGTAGAAATTGCCTGGAATTTCCTCCATTTTCAGCCATCTGGCTTTCATTGCTCTGCTTCTCCTCTACTCCTTCATACATGTTTACCAAGTCTTTTCAACATGCATAGACCAAGCTATTGAGAAGTTATAATTAATGACACAGTTACAACATTCTCTTTCACCCCTTTGGTAGAGTCTGTTGGCTCACCACCAGGTGCTCATGCTGTTGCTGTTACAAACAACAGCAATTATATCTGATTAAACGATGACTGCCTCTGTATTTGGGTTGTGGAGGCTGAGAAAAAGACATTTCGGAGGGGAGTAATTTTGTTGTTTACAAAAGTAAAGCCAACATTGAAACAGTTCTGCTTGGTTTTTTTTTTTTTTCCCCCGGTTGTTTCTGGAGCAATTTAGAATACAAACATAACAGTTAGCAAAACTGAGTGATCTGCCATTCCTTTTTTTGAACTTAGACAGACATTTCTAGACATCGAACAGCTTTTCTGCATTACCCTTGGGAAGACTGTGATTTGCTCAAGTACTGCTATGTAATCCTGGAAGTGATATTACTTGATTGACACAAATTAAGTAACTGAATGACTGAATCAAAATGTTTATAGTTTTCATTCCTCTTTTTTTTTTCCGGAGAAAGCATGCTGGGTCAAAACTTCAAAACACGCTTTATCCTTTTTATAGAAATATCAAACAAGGGCATTCCAAGTTAATGACACAAAATTTTACTCCATACCTACTGTGCTGAAAATCAGTTATTAGCTCCCAGCTTAGCAATCAGCTCAACAATGTTTCACTATTTCTTAGTTTAGCACAAAATGGAAATTTCTGCAATACTGTTTTTCAGCACGAAAGGGAATGGACTCTTTTTCTGCTATTGTTCTTGAAGCAATAAGCAAAAAACTCTCAACAAAGTGTGAAACCACAGGAAACTCAGTTTCTTGGTATTTGGATATGAATGAAATCTTCCAATTTTTGTGTACAACTCTTCTTGGCTCTTCTTCTTTCTTCTGTAAGAACTTTAAGGATGAGATTTTGCTTACTCCATACAGCTGCAAATATTTGAAGACAAATTGTCTTTCTTCAATGGGCTCAGGATAGTAATGCACTAAGATATTAAGCCAGAATTTCAATGGAAATTATAAAGCTCTCTCAGCTGCTATATAAGCACAATCGCCTTGCAGTGTTTTCATAAATCTGAAGCATTGCCAGTCTACTCTAGCTTTTACTGTATTTTCTTCCAGCAGAGACCAGACCAATCCAGAATTGAAGAGGACGATAATATCAGAGACGAATTTCAAGATGAAGCACTAAGTGAATAATGACGTCTTCTAGCCTATCTAAATTTATTTTCAGTAAGCAATAAAAAGAGCAGCAACAGTGAAAATCCCTTTAGCAAGTGCCTCAAATGAATGATGAAATAAAACCAGAATGAAATAACTCTTCACTGACTACTTCAAGAGTATATGTCTTGAGGTGTATGCCTTCTGATCCTCCAGAAAGGCTGACTAGATTATTGGCTCAATGTGTTTGTTTATCTGTATTAAACCAGCTTAATTGTTTACCAGGAAAAGCTTACACAACTAACCCTTCGAGATGTGGTGGAGAAGACCACATGTAACCAACAGCGGCTGCAGCAGAAGCAACATTAAGCTTGGAAAGAACTATTTTTCACTATTCTTCCTCTTAATCTAAATGAAATCTTGAATTTAAATTCTAGGCATATACATTAAATTCTAACCAGGCTGGGCTGTTTGTGTTCAAGAAACATCACAGGAATAATTTCTCTAAATACACTAGGAAGAAATTCTCATGCTTTTGGGCAAGACTTTTCAGCTTTCTCTTCATGCTGTGGAGAACATTCTCATGTCTACTGTGACATTCATCACTGCCTCAGTTGCCTTTTCAGCAGACTGCCTCGTCTACCCACCACAACTGTATGCTCCAACAGTAACTTACACATCAAGGACATTTTAGGAAAGTGTTTTTTTATTTTTAGCTTCTGTTAATGCACTTTAGCAGATGGAAAACAGAGAGAAGAGCCAACAATATGAGACCAGCCAGCTCTCTCTATAAGCCACCAGTGAAAGCTCTGGGATGTATCAATGGTTCACAGATCGCATTTTGGAAACTTCTGTAACAAGGATCTAAGTTCACAGCTATGGTGTATTACAAGTTTTGGACTTGTCAGTCAATAGCAATGCCTTCATCAGCATTCATAACAACAGGATTTTAGCTTAATTTCCATTGGATTCCTGGATCAAAGTTTCTTGAATTAGAATCCCAAAGCACCTTATGATTAAAACAGATAGAAAACCATAAAGCTCTTTCTTTCCCCCCCACTCCGTATTGTCTTTGGAAGCCCTAAGAGTGTTATACTTAATGATTATAAAGCAATACTCTTCATACAATAAATACTGTCAGTTTAATTGTATTTAATTCAGTGGCATTAGCAGATGTAGCACTTCGGAAGCTTGCAGGAAATAAGGAAGTTTTCATGTCAAAGCCTGCCTGGGAGACACAACAACTTTCCTTCTTGCCTCTCTTTCACTTAGCCAAGCTGCCCACTGTCTGCAGCCTTGAGTTTTAGGCGTCCTTGTTCTGAAGAGAAGAACCATTTTGCAGAACACGTGCCGTTCTTCATTCTGTGCCACTTAAATCTCTGCAGACAGGCAATTTCCTTCAAACTGAGGGTGCTGGAGGAAGAGGAGATGTATATACAGGGGAGGGAGCAGTATCTCCTTTTCTCACCTGCAGCCCTAGAGTTGTCTCCCACCACACCTTCATCCCCTTTCACCTCTGCTTCAACAGCTTGAGTCTCACCTACAACACGATTATCTTGTAATCCATTGAGTGAACTACATGCCCAAAGTTGTATTAAACTAGCTCCACCCTGGTAGCGAGGTTACCACAGTGGTATGGTAACTAATTCAAAAAGTATTCACCCAGTTTCTCAGACTACTTTTGTAACACAACTCACATAAATACTGGCCTACATGGGTGTGCCTTATTTTTTCTTAACCAGCAAATATCTATTTTCCATGTCAGAATCAAAGGGTGATCAATCTCCCACCATGCACTCTCAGATCCAGTGATGTTGCTACATATCAGTCACAGCAAGATGCTCACCTATGACATTCTTTTCAAGCATTAATATAATATTTGTGTGTTATTGCCAGCACTACATACAATTTAAGAAAATCAGGGTTGCAATATCTTTGTAAGCAATTCTTGTGATACTTTGGTGAAACGTGTCAGCCTATTTGGCTCTGCTTGACACAGACCCAAAATCTTGATCATTCAATCAAACCATTAATTCTCACTATCATTCACTATCATTCTTGGATGCTGAATGTGTTTGATGCCATACTTGATTTCTACTGTGAACCTTCTCTGTGTACCCAAAATCTACTAATGCTCATAATGATACAACTTTGCATAGCCTGCTGTCATTTAATGCATAAATACACCTATCAATATATACTTTAATGAATATATACCACCTGGGCAGTGCTGAGTGTTTTAAATAACCCAATTATAAATCAATGAATTTAAAATGTGCTGCACTAACAGGAGAGAGTAAAGGCACCTGTGTACGGATGGGAATAAAGACCATATGTATACAGTATAACCTGAAGTCTTGACAGGCCCAGGTCTATTTAAATAAACCATAGGAACCTCATGACAGCTATTTTCTGTCATAGAGAGTACAGATATAAATCTCTGGAGGCAAAGATCTGCTATTTTTAGGGTCAGGATTTTGAAAGCTGCCTAAGGTCAGGAAGGAAAAGGTTCTGGAAAATCTTGTGAGAGGGGAGGTTGAAGAAGTCTCCTTAAACTTGACAAGTCTATTCATAAACTGTCTGACTGCAGAACCTGAATAGCCAAGTGATCTGAAGTTTGCACTTTGGTTTTATCATCAATTTGCACAATGGCAGAGGTGTGGAGAGGCTGTAAGCCCCTGCAGTCTGACAAAAAGCATGTGAGAGTCAGTCTGTGACTCCAGAACGAAAAACCTTTGAGTCTGGGGTCACAACTTATTTAAAATTCCTTTCCTCATACTGCTAGTGTCGTTTGAATGGCTTTAGGCAACATACTGGACACAGATCTGCTGAGCTCAGACAACTGAGTCTGTGGTACTGCAACCTGGGGAGCCATCTCAGGCTCTCATCCGAGCATTTTACTCCAGGAATCATTTCAAGAATGCCCAGATCCAATATCCAGATCCAAGCATCCCTGGCACCAATGTCGCAGATTCATGGGGAGCTTGAAGATCAGCTTCTCAGCTTCAGCAGTGATCACCTGTCTTTATGTCTGGAAAAAACATGTATGCCCAAGGTATAAGAAGCCTACCTTGGGGGGCAGGGGTTCAGGCTACAGGCTTTCAGCAGCTGGGGAGGACGACGGCTGGTTATACACAGCGTCTCATCCGCAGTCTCCCTGGTTTGTTTGTTCAGGCAGGTCACCACTGCCTCCTGGACACCTGCACACAAAAACACATAGTCACAGCCAGCTCTATGTACCTGGAGAGGCAGCCACAGGCAGGAATGGGCCAGTGGCGCTGCACTGGGGCTGTGGCATGCAGGGAAGCACAGCCTTACACCCAGCGCTGCCAGCTCATGGTCTGCAGCCCTGCTGCAGGGAGGGAGGAAGCTGCTTCCCACATGTCAGTGAAGTGTTTGCTGTGCCCATCTAAGTGCTCTGCCTGGTGGTCTTTTAGGAGTATGGTATGAATGCCTACCAAAGGGGGATGTTTCACGGCACAGTGTACCTGACTGAGTGTGAAAAATTGCATCTCCTTTTCTCCCTTCTAATCTCTAACTCTTGCAATTGTCACACATTGCTTACTGCACTTTTTTGTATCCTGTTCCTCAGACAGCTGGGATATCACCTGATCAAAACATCATATGAGACTCTGGGCTTTTACTTATCCCTGCTGTCAGTCTCACCAGGTGTCTCAATTGCAGCGAAAAGTCCCTAGGTTCATTCACGCAAAATTGCCCAGTGTTTTCCAGTGACTCATCCTCTCACTATGAATGACACTGTGACAGATAAACAGCAGTGAGGCTGATTATTTGTCTGTCACACAGGCTAAAGCATGAAGATGGCTTTGACTTTGGCATGCTGTATTTTAAAGCAACAGAATGATTGCAAAAGTAAAGTCAGACAAGGTCAGGCAAGTCAGCTGCTTTGTTACCCTTCTGCATCCATAGACCTGCAACTAAACTGAAGACACAAACCTGTAAGGTATTAAATTCAGCATCTTCTCCATTTCTCTCACACTGATGGATTAGCAAATGCACATAGATATGATCTTAAAATTTTTTATCTTTTAAAGGTACTTGTAGAACCCATAATCTTGCCTGACAGTATGGGTATTGAAGAAAAAGGCTACCGCCTGAATTTAACCAGTGTGTGGCTGCTGGACTGTGTATTGACAGAAGTTTCTGGCTTTAGCACATTGAGCCAGTGGCTTGCTCCAGAAGAAAAAAGTGTGCTCCTAATCCCTTTCTTCAGCTTTTTGTTGAATCTTGCATTGAGCATGTCACAGCATGCTGATAACAACTGTATCTCTGGTTTTGACAGGTCAATGCATCAAACAGTTACAAGCTTTAAATGAAGGATGGATCCATGAATATTTAGAGAACATAAAAATTTCAATTATCCTTCAGAAGTCTCACAATACAAAGATACTTTAAAAAGTGCACGATCTTCAGGAAGTTTATTTGCCAAGTTAACTGAATTCTAAACAGTATTTACTGCACAGTGTTAACAGAACAAAAAGCTGACTGCTTTAGAATTGCTTTCCCTGAAAAAAACAAATCAGGTCTAGATAGGAAATCACAGAATAAAAGGCTGTAAGGGTGAGATACGGATAAAGGCAGTTTAAGTTCACTTTCAAAATGCCATCGAGATTTTATGTTTTTATATCTATCAGAATAGAATATATGCTACATGATGTTCGATGACAGCTCTGAGAAATGCAGTCACTAACTGCAGACTGAAATGACTAATTCCTTCTGGTTGCTACTTCTGGAAGGTGAAAGGTTACTTCTGCTTCTATCCAGTGTCTTCTCTTGAGACTCCAAACCCAATAAAATTAGTCTGAACAGTCTTGCACCTATGGCTACAAAAGTATCTGATTTAGCATCTGCTAATCTGGAAATTTTGGAGTTGACATCACACAGAAAGAAATCTTGGCTAATAATTTTGCTAGCAATTGAAAGAGATTAAATTTACGAAGCAAAACCTCCCTGTCATAACACCTCTGTGAGTTATATTTGAAAAATACACAGTCAGTATATTCAAAGAAATTACTTAATTTCAGGATGATATTTGCAGAAGGTATTCAGGTTTCAGTATTCACAAAGTGTAACAAACGGTTACTCCTCACTAGTAGCCTCCATGTATGACAAATATTCCTGTTGTAAAGTCACTGTTCATCACCACTTACACTATACTAGTGCCGTATTTTTTATGTATGAAACAAAACAATAGTGGCAGTGATCTGACAATCCTCTTTGACCTGCTCTAAACACAGACTGCTGTCATCAAGCTAAGAGGAATAGAAAATCTTTGTATGATTTTCTACTATATGTGGTTTTTAAGTTTGTAACTGATTGTAACTGGTGAATCTGTACAGATCACACTACTAGACATTCCTAAAGTGCTAAGTGGTTTCCAGTTCTACAGTATCTATTCTATATTTACCTATAGTAATCCTTTTCTTAAAAAGCCTACAACTGTAATGTAAAAAGCTGGAGAAGTCCAGGTTCAATTTAAAAAATACTGCATTGTTTATATTTCTCAGAATTAGCTAAACAAAGTGATGGGACAAAAAGGGATACCTGAGAACTGTGCATTAATAGTCTACAACATGTGGAACCTGAGACCTTGATTAACTTTGAGAAACTCCAAGTGCCAAGGCTGCTAGTTTCAGACAATCACACCATTAGTGCGTTTTTACCATGTGTTTTCTTTTCCCCTGGGATCAGAGCTAATGGCACTTAGGAGTTAGGGAACCAGCTGAGCCCTCAGAATATCAATAATTTAATGCATCTGCTATGAGAGGAAAATTTGTTTCCACATGTTTACACTTGCACAGTAGAAATCAATCGATAAAACTTGAAATGACAAATGACTCTTAGCCTGTATCACCAGACCACTTTAACATTCAGCTTTTTTGCTTGAATGCATGAGTACCTTTTAAGTAATAAGCTTATGAAAAGAAACAGAAATATGTAATACATTGATCACTTGGTGGCAGCCTGAGCATAGACACTGAAAGTCCTGGGATAAAATATGCTGTGTACATGCTGGGTTTTTTTTCCACAGTTTTCATCCACAGTTTTCCAAATATGGTTGTACTCAATGATTTTATGGTTGGACTTGATGATTCTACAGGTCTTTTCCAACTTAAATGATCCTATGAATGTAAACAGCATATCAAAGCAGCATGTCCATGGGCGTTAACTGCAAAGCACACGCTTGAAGACAGAAATCGAATCCAGCACAGAAATTTTTCACACTTACCTCCTCCACAGGACTCTGAACACTCTGTAAAGCCCTCATACTCCCAATCATAGAGCTCATCAAACTCCTGCAAGCTGCCATACAGCAGCTCGGATTCCTCTGGGGTATATTCGGTGGCCTCTCCATTGCAGGGACCACTGTAACAGGCTCTCTGAGACACAGGCTTGGGACCCTCACACTCATCGATAGGTAAGTCAGCCACAGACTGAGAGAAAGAGAGGAGCACTTGACATTTCACAAGCCGCACTTGGCTGCCCACTCCACAGGTGACACTACAGGTGGACCAAGCCTCAGGAATAAACCTGTGGGAGGAAGAGAGCAAGGCAAGTTATGTCCAGAAATAGCCAGGCAAGCAAAAGCAGTATATTCCTGTCCAGGTCAAATTCTGTTCAATGAGAAATAAATGTTTCACCTCATCATAGGGCTATTAAATTATACACATAAAAGCCATACTGTTGAACAGTGGAAACATTCTCAAGTATCCATGTGGAGTGTCTCTTTAAATCCAGGAAGAAAGGTGCATGCTTAGGGCACCTGCCATGATCCTAGAAGGTCTCAGTGCAAGGCATCCTGCAATCTCCCAATGTGCATCATGATTTGACTAGCTACTTTTTGCCAGTATTCAACATAGACCATCTTTGCCTTAGTTAATATTACAGTTATATCACTAGTAAGTATTGAGCATGCTGCTGTTACTAGCTAATGCAATATTATAGGGAAGATAATCTCAGTCATTGTTCCTGTATTGCAATAACCATTTAAACCTTAATTTGAAGTCATAACAAAGAAAAAAACCAGCATTTCTTTAGCTGACTTTTTTTTTCTTTTTTTTTCTTTTTTTTCTTTTTTTTTTTTTCCTCCCCCCTAGGACATCTTATTTTTCAATAAAAAAGACAGTGTTCCATTTCTATTCTGGATTTCTCCGGCTATTACTCTTTTCTCAGTGGTTAGGAACTCTTACATGCTCCAAAGTTTTGCCTCTGAAAGTCCATGCATACTTCAATTAAAGCACTGTACAGTAATCATTACAATATGCAACCCACCTACATACCCACCACCATGTGTGTGCACCAGGACCCCAAACTGGAACAGCATAGTCTCCTAGAGCAGAGAGCATGCATCACTCTACCCACTTTTTGTGGGTGTTAGTAACATCTTGCTATAAACCTGATACACACCACTATAGCACCATAAACAGGAAGTAATAGAAAGAGATGGACTGCATATACTATTGGAACATTTCAAAATGTTTATAATGCCACTACAAAGACTGCAAAAATCCTTTCTGGAGCAAAGCCCTTGAGACACTAATGATACAAAGTAACGCCATTTCCCCATTCTGTGACAATTTACCTGAAAAGATTGGTCAAAGATGATACCCTTCATTTTGAAAGGATTATACTCTTTAATAGTATAGGTGGGCTATTCATCTTGTTTCTCTAAGGACGCGCAACTGCTACAATACTATTTTGAAGTGGGAAATCTCTTGTTACAGACTAAGCAGTCTATATCAGCCGCTGTGACTTAAATATTTTGATTACTTTAAATGTATAGCTTCTTGAATTGACAAACTTAAGAGGTAGAAAAAAAGCACTGGTCTTCATCAGAAGCTGTCTTACATTTTTTTAACATTATGAATTGTTTTGTATCTGTGCTTTGCTGCAGAGCTGCCATATTCCAAACCAAGAGAGGTGATACTTTGCCAGGTATTAAAATTGCTTATTTAGAAATCCAGAAATACTTTGTATACTCAGAATATTTACACATGATGTATATCACATATACAAACATAGGAACAAAAGAAAGAAGAAAGAAAAGGGAAGTAGGAACATTATTAAGGCAGACTGTACCCTTTTTGAAATGAGGCTTGATCCATAAATGCCATATATTATTTTACCCTAGTCAGCAACTAGTCATAATGAAAACACTGCAATACCTTCAGGAAATTATGTTTTATTCAGATTTCTAGGCCTAGTTTCTATATTTTAAGTGATAAATTGGAAAATGTATTTTAATTCTAATATAACTGTTTGCTGCTGAAGAGGGAATTGATAGAATCAGAAGAATTGCAAGCAGTAAAGAAGGGGGTAAAACCCTGTAAATTAATTCTCTATGTAGGACTTGTCATTACATACTGAACATTTATGTAATGTGAATATATAATATCAATAGTTCTAAACTTTCTACCATCCTAACCCCAGGAAGTTGCATATGCTCTCAAATACATTTGTGGGGTCATTAATAATTGTTGCTGAATGGTGAGCACAAAACACAAAAAGTATGTGAATAAAAAGCAGTTAGTTCAATGGGTTTAAGGTTATTTGTTCTGCACATAGTGTACTATTCACTGCACAGCATTGTGCTTTTTTGTAAACTAACATCTCAGTCTTCTTTGAGAATGGAAGTAGTGGAATAGATTCACTGGGAAGTAATTTCTTTTTTAGAAAACAGGAAATGATGGAGGTGTTTCAGTTGTTATTGCATGTTGTTTAATTAATTCCCACTGTAATAATAGCCCCCATAATAATGACCTTACCAAGACAAAGGTAATAACTAGTTCTAGCAATGTGGCAGTAGTAGCTGTCAGCAGAACCCAATTGTGCTAACAGCTGTGAAAATTAAAAATGAAAATGTGCCTCTTGCCTCAAAGAGATTGCACTGAGTATTTCATAGCTCTTAGCATACTTCTCAGTGATTAGCATGTTGCCATTGCATCAAAGATCATCGTTTATTCCTCTGCACAGCAGATATAATGATTCTTCCCCAAAGGAAAAAAACAGCAGTGTGTCTTCTGGTAGTTCTGATGAATATTTGCTCCTATTTTAGAGAGATCACTACAAGGTGGAGAAGTGAAAGCTGGAATGAGGATTATGACCCTTCTTTCTTACAACTGACTTTAACCATGTTTGCTGTTGCTCAACTGCTGGAGTTGTTACAGCATAGTTGTAGCATATATACTTGTTTCTTGGCCTGTGGGCACTTTCACAGTGATGGATCAGCAATCTTTTCGCATATATGAACATCCTGTCAAAATAGTGAGTTCTGAATTTGAAAAAGGCATTGTAGTTTTCAGTGGGTTTTGTTAGCTGCCAAAGTTTCACAATTTGCCCAAGATTCTGTTCAGCTGAAGGGACTATTGTTGCATCATTTGTCATGTGCACATTAGCATATGCTGGGCTGCAAAATGTGTTCTAGGAGCAGAAGAAAAGAAATGTAATGCTACTGACATTGGCGAATTTCTGCAGGAGTTATTCAGGTGTGGTACTGGGCTAGTTTTGGCTCATTTCTTTTGTAGTGCACTAAAATTACTGAAAATATATTTTAAGGAAATTTTAATATGATTGAAAAACCAGCTTATCATGTTTGTACATAAAGCACGTAATACAAAATATTGGTCAAATGTGAAATGCACAGCAGTTCAGCCTTCAGGCTTCACAGCCAATAAAACAGCAAATACAAGGGAATAGCAGCTGTCCACAGAATGTCATCCACACATGAACATTGAGTAGATACCACTTGCCCAGCTCAATTTTGCAAGGACTATTTGCACTGTTTGCACATGTACATTTGTAAATATTTACATTTGTACATGTTTACACATGAGAATGCCCCTTCTAGACAATAGCGTGTCTAGTGTTTTTTAAAAAAGTCCTCTTTTAAAATTATATAAGAGGTATTGTAGACTAAAATGAGTTATGCATGATCACTGGTACATAAAGGCAGCAAAAGATATGACAAAATTTGAGAACAGCAATGACAACAGCAGTGCACAGCCTTGGGAAAATTATTCTTTTTTCTTAAATCCCTGGGCACAGATAAGGACTGGTGTATATTCACCTCCATACAGCAACATACATGGAATTGGGAAAGTCAGAAAAGGAGAAGCACAGAGTCAGTGCTTAACAATGGGCGATATCCCACAGTAGGTTTTAGCGGGTTCAGGATGAGACCCATGGAAAGCCCTGCTGAGTTTTGTGAAGATCTCCAGAACAGTTAATGTAAATAGCCAAAACCTCTTCTGACTCAGACTTGTGTCCCTACAATGTGTGTGATGAAGTAAAAACCCCCAGCTGTACATAGACTGAGGTCCTTGAGCTGTGGAGAAAAACAGTTCATTTTATTCACTGCTACTTAGTCACATACTGCACTTAATTTTTATTGTTTAATGCTTTGTGGTTTTTTTTGTTGGTTTGTGGTTTTTTTTGTTGGTTTTGTTTTGGGTTTGTTTTTTTTGCTTTTAAATGCATTGTTTGGTAAATCCATGGTTCAGACAAACACTGAAGTTTTGAGAACTGCACACACCAATAAGACTGAGTGTTCAAAGGCACAGGCATCCACCTATTAAGGCATCTAAAATCAGATACTGCTGGTGAAATAAAATGCTCAGTGGTTTATTCAAAGGCTTAGAAATTTTCTATGATAGAACCTAGAATTGAGCTCAGACTTGCAGACTGCTTGCCTCCAGCTGAAGTGCAACCAGTCCTCTTTCTCCAGGAGAGGCCACCTTTCCACAGGTCATAAGGTATGGATAATATCACAGGATGCTCATGCACAGCACTGGGTAGCTGCTAGTATCATTGCTCAGAGAAGTGAAACATGTCATGACCACTCATCAATAAAATCTCAAGACTCCAACTACAAAGTAAAGGCATCAGCACCAGCTGCATAGATGCAGTTCCAGTCTGAGTGATTACAATCTGTCCCTCTATAGCTTCTTTTCAGTTTAGTGTGAATGTGATCTTTTCTTTCAGCTTTATGTCACACCATTCTATACTGTTGCTGCTCTCCATAAATTCACCGCTGCCTTTCTCCCCAGGGTAAGATAACTGCTTCTGCCCTGTATACATTACATATAAATCTTGAGTAGAGGTGATTGTCTAAAGAGGTTCCTTGAATCAACAGATAAAAATTGTTACCTAATGTTAGGCTGCTGCATTGCTGATCTTTGACTGACTGTATACATAGTTCAATTTTTTTTTGCCATTAGACCTTAATATGGAGAAGTTTCCCTAAACTTCCTTCTTTCTCTTCATTGCATGACACTGGAGAGGACAAGCAGCAGGTGAATAGTATCTGTATGTGTCCTCAATTAGTTTTGCAATCCAATAATTATGCTTTAGTTTTAAAGTAAAATATCTGTAGGAAGTTTTAGGATTACTTATTAACCTGTGAAGCAAATACAAACATGGTGATAGAAACTATTTAACAGGGAAAACCAGAATAAATAGCTTATGTGTCTTTGGAAACCTTAATACCTGCTGAAAAGTAAGAAAGAGATACTGGGTGACTCTGCCATGCTGCCCCCTCTGTCCATACCTAGTTCCCTGAGGGCTTTGTCCCCGCACTGATGCAGGAATTTCCTTTTGTTTTTTTACTGAACTGGCCCCATCACTATGATGGTGCCATCTGGCATCCAGATATTATTGTTTGCCCTTTTCCCTACTCCTTATGGCTAGCACCAGGTTTATTTATGACAGCATGCTAAAAGCTGGGTATGGTGTTAACATACAAAAGCATTTTTCAAGAGTTAGAGACAGAAATCTTTTAAACAACCCTCTACCACTCAATCTCATTATACATAGGAAAACTCCTACTTTTTAAATCATGACTGCTGCTCTTTCTGACTCTGGCTGTCATGCTGTGCAGGTGTAATGAGCTCCAGTCAGAGTCAGACAAAAAGATACTGTCGGCTTTTCCTTCTACTTCTAGGGCCTGTTGAATGCTAACTTCAGAGTTGAACAGCAATAGGAGAGCAATCTATACAACACAGGACAGCAAGGACTTCTTACCCTAAACCTTTGTCCACACAAAGATTTAGAGTATTTCATAGTAGTTATGTTCCAATTAATATTTAACTGATCATGTCTAGGAGTGCAGCAGTTCAGAAAACTCAAACTATTCCCTCTAGCCTTCAAGTAGCTGGACTGGTTATAATTAATTCTTTGGGCAGCAGAACCGGTGAAGACTGATTAAACATGGGTCTATGTTTGAAGGCTAAGTGTCCAAATGGATTCTCTGGTATCTCTTAGAAATCTTAAAGGTTTCTAAAGGACCAAACTCTTTTAGAAACTTTTCCTTCAACTGGGGAATTGTAGGGTGTCAGTTTTCTACCTAGTCATTTAGTTCAGTGAAACATTTGGAAAATACTTCCACAGAATTTCCTGGTGAATATCAGTGAAATTTGACAGAGAGGTAAAATATTCTGGGATAACTTTATATTTCTGTCAAATTCAGTTAATTGGAATAAAATCAGACATAACTAAGAGAAGAGGAAGGCAACGGACAGATAGACATATACAGTCAGAATTGAACTGTAAGACTTGCTTCCTTTAGAAATTCCTGAAGAAATAAATAATGGAAGGCAGTACATGCAGATGGAATAAAAATGAGGCATCTGCTGCTGTAGCAGCACACATTAGAAAACGATCACAAATTACAGGTAGAAGGACAGTAAGTGTAACGTTGTAACTCATAGCATGCAATTTCATAACAGAAATTGTATTAAACAGAAACTCATAGAAGTCACAAGACAACAATGCAGGGATTCACAAATGTGAGGACTCAATGCATGGAAGAAATCTGATGAAAACTTTCAGCTTTAGCTTTTAAACTTCCACTCAAGAATAAACTTTGAGAAGGACAACAGAAAATGTATACCCAGCCCGACCTGAGAAGTGATCTAGCTCTTCCAGGTAACTGCCCCCAGTTTATGTAGCGGGCATGACGTGCTGTGGTATGGAATACCTCTTTGGTCAGTTTGGGTCAGGTGTCCTGTCTCTGCTTCCTCCCGGCTTCCCCTCCTCCCTGGCAGAGCATGAGACTCAGAAAGTCCTTGGTCAGAGTAAACATTACTGAGCAACCGAAAAATCAGTGCTGTTCCCAGGCTGAAAGTCAAAACCACAGCACTGCACCAGCTACTAAGAAGGAGAAAAATGACTGCTGCTGCTGAACCCAGGAAAATTCTACAACACACGTAGGTGTTAGACAGTAGGAAATTGATGGTCATTTTCTAGTTACTACAATTCACAGTCAGGAAATTAGCTGACAACATCACACACTGTCTTACACCTACTAGTGCTTGATCCAACATTTAAAAACTGTTCCAACCTTCAATTTGGCATGCACCTACACTCTGAACTAATTCATCAGCCAAAATATGTGGGTGATAGCTTGACATCTCTCAGCATGGTAGACCACGGAATATTAAATTGAGTCTGCAGAGGTGCAGAAACACAGGCTAAAGGTGCATTATTATGTAATATACCCTGCTTTTCAACTAGTTGGTGTATTCAAAATCCCTGCACAGCCAAATGAGAACAAACAATAGTCTAAAACTGGCATCAAAGTTGATTGTTGGTTGTATATTGGTGAGTTCTGAATGTTTTGTCTCCTTTTTTACAGAAAAAAATGTATATAATGACATAAACAATCAAATAACCAGGACCTAAAATGAGTAACTGTTTAAAGGTAGACATTACTGAAAAACACTATTAAAAGTGAGGCACCAGAACCAATTTTATGTGGAAGATCCCTTCTCAAGTCACTGTCAACAGATTAGATATTCTGGAACAATATGCAGATGGCTATTACAATTTTTAGATGGGGAGTGCATGGATGGCTTTTTCAGCATAAGTTTTCTAAGTTTTTGTTTGGTCTTTCTGTCTCATGCCTTATCACTAAAATCATCTGAATCTAAACAGAAGGCATGGATATCTCTGAGCTCTGGGAAAGTTTGCATAAAGATCTTGACTTTGTGTCCTTTATTTCAGCTTTTAGTCAACACATATAAAAATCTAGACCTGAATTTAATGTCATGCTGACTTCTCATTAGCCTAAAATAATGATTATACATATTCTCAGAGCTGTGCTTTGCACAGAGAAAAAAAAATGTATAAAATATCACCTCATGGCAGAAGGAATCTATTCTGGACTGTGTCCAACTAGATATTGGACAGTTAGTACCCCTGTACTGGTATCACTGAAATATTGTATGAAATGGGTTAAAAAGATGAGGATGTCTTTGTAGAACAGGGTCTTTTTTTTTTGCAACAGAACAGTGAACTATAAAACAAGGAGGTATCATAGATACACTAAAAACATTTAAAAATTCTTAAATACCTTTCATTTTATATCTCTCAGTGTCTGTTTTAATATCACAAGTAATGTACCCATAAGGTTTTCCAGAATATTTTATTAGAATACACATCAGGATAAACAAAACCCTCTTCTTTCCCCGCATGTTATGCCTATGCTCTACAAACCACTTTTAAAATTGAAAGCTACCTATATTCATATATATATGCATATTACTATATCCTTTTTCTACAGTATTGTCAACATTGTTGACCAAATTTACCAAAACCTGCCTTGTGTAACAAACTGTTCCAATGACCACATTATCAGTATGATCCCTTTCAATAAACTTCCTGATAATACATCTTCATTTACATATGCTTCCAGGGGTTACCTACAGTTTGATAAATATATGTTTAGATAAGTGGTTCAGTAGTCTCAAGAAGAAAATCATAAGAACATAAACCACATTTACAAATGAAAAATTAATATGTTTACAAATACTGAATTTTCTAGGCTTTGACTCTGAATGAATGAACTTACAAAATCTATGGAACACTGGAAACAGTTAAACAGCCCATATTAGATGCTACGTTTCTACTAGTATATAATATATACACACACATATGAATATGTGCATGTGTATATGTGTGTATAAATGTTCATGTATACATGTGTGTATGTGTTTATGTATATGTATGGCACCTGGATTAAAATAATTTTCATTTTCAGAGCTTTATTATATATGTCTCTAGCTCTATTTCAGCGTTCCAGTTTCAAATTACTTAAACTCAAATTGACCATGCCAAACCTGCAATTATATTGCATAATGAATAGTGCTTTTAGTCCAATACACAGCTGTAGTTGCAATGAAAGAGGCTGTATGGTTAGCCATGACGAACCGAATACTGGTTAAAGCTCTGTACAGACATTATAATTACAGCATGTATTTATCACAGTTCCGGAATAAAAAAAAAATCGAAACATAGTGATAATAGCATTTTTAGTTTCTCTCTTATTGCTAAAGGTATATATGGTGCACCAGTTTTACTGCAGCTTCCTTTTCATTGCAATTTTATTAGGCTAAGGAAGACTAATTATCCATAAATGACAATAAAACTCAACTCTGAGCGAAATTCTGAGGGTGTTTTAAAACCAGTTATTTTTTTTAACTTCTTCCACAGTCCTGCTATTAACAAAATGGAGCACGAGTAGAAACTGCTAAACTGCATTTTCAATGGCACTGTGTGAAGAATCTGAGTACACCAGGCCAGATTTATGCAGTCAGATTTTCTTATTGATATATTGAAATGGCAGGTATCAAACTCAGAGTAGAAGTGCTCTTTTCCAGCTTTTTATTGTAGCACTTTTTCTGTCATCATTACCTCTAACTATTTTATGCCTCTTTCTATCTCAATAGTAATTTCTTCACAAAACAGAATATAAATACATAGAAAAGAAAAAACTTACAGTTAAAGGACAAGATAATTGTATGTATTTAAGAGGAAAATTTGCAATTTCCATCATTTCAGGCAGCTCAAATGCAAGGGAAGTGTCAATGTATGTATGTAGGCAAACCTGCTGTCCAAGAGGATCTGCAGCAGGAGGAAAAGCTACTAAGGGGGTACAAAGTGCTGACTGAGACCTTGCAAAGGTGCCTGGACAAAGACCATGAAGTAACTAGAAAAGCAGGGGGGAGAAAATCCCTGAAATGATGAGGTAGGTGATAATAAGGCAATCTAAACCATAGGACTGAGGTTTCTAATTTATTTTCTGCTAAAGTTAATCAATTTTATTTGCTGCTACTACATATTTGCTGGGGACAGAGGAGAGGGGAAATCATCCTGTCTGCCCTGTGGTTTACCTCTTTTTTCACGGGGTATTGGAAGAATAAATAAATGTGCTGAGCTGTGGAGCAACAGTGGTATTGATGAGCATACAGCTATGTAGGTAGACAGACTGTCACTATAATATTGTAAATGACCTTAAATTAAACATGCATATATTTGCTCAAATTAAATCTACATTTTCCCTCTTAATTCTGCCTCTTTGTACCTAAAAGTAACACAGATTTAAGCTCACTGATTTCCATGGGCCTTGGTTTAGACTTTACACTCTAAATGAAAGCCAAATAAAATTTCAAGAGACTGTTTCAGTTCAGCACAAACCACAGATCCCCACATCATGAGAACCTGATAGAAGCAAATTTTTAAGACTTACGATGGTTCTTCAGACACCACTGCTCCTTCCTCCAGTTCTTGAGCCTGCTTATACCACGGCAACTTTGCTTCCACAGGAAGTTTCTCTATGGAACAAGCACAAGCATGTGAAAGCTGGAACCATGCAGTAATGCTGCTATATATGCCAGCCTCCCCTCTCTCTGTGATGCATATGTGCATGATTTCATCCACATGGAGGCTGAACATAAAGAAGAAAGAGAAAAGAGAGCAGGAGGGAGAGAAAGAGCTTAGTCTTTGTCACCTGGAGTATAATGCCTACAAGGTTATATGATCACATAGTACACTGTTGCAGCTAGAAGGGCTTATTTAGTCAGAAAGGCAAATTATATCACTTTTCAGACTATGCAACTGAGCTGTAAAAGTAGTTTGGAAAGTATTTTTTTGTAGGGAGTCTTCCAAGTGTAACAGGCCTCCACTGACCCTGCAAAGGCAAAATGTATAAAATCCCTGTGTTTACCCTTAAGTTTTAGAACTTCAGAAGACACATTAAGCTTGTTTTTGATAGATTACAAAAGGAAGAAAACCCTGATTTGATGAATGATACCACAGAACAGAGAAACTGTAATAAAATGGCCCAGCTATGCTTTTCAACTTTATCAGTTCATCAGCTATGTGGATTTAAAAGAATGAGCTTGATACTTTTTATGTCATTTCTGATGGAAAACAGTAGAGCTGCTTTTCTTCCCCTCCAGGATGTGCATGCAGCATAATGAGCTGCTCTGCTTTGGGGAGTGCAGGGCCATGCTGCTACACAAGCCAAACTCTCCTTTCATGCGGTGTCAAAGTACAGAATTTGAGCTGAAGGCAGTGGAGCTGTTTTAGCTCTACAGGGGTATAAACCGAGAGCAAATTTGGCACTATAATCTGAGAAGGAGCTCTGCATTTCAACAAAATGTTCTGGGCTAGAATCAGGGGAAAAAACACAAATAAAAGGGGATGAGACTCAGGCCACTGAGGAGAACCAGGGCCAGATCTATTTGCCACTCACAAATCACCTAAGCCTTTTGGGTTTATGTAATCCATGGATTTGTACTCGACAACAGGAGCAGATTAATGCTGTTCACAATAGTTTGGAAGTTTCTATGACTGTTGTGCACAACAGCAAACATTTCACATGTGGACACAAAATTTCCCATCTGTCAGTTGTATCGTAGAAGAACAACAGCTTACAACTTGGTTTCACAGCTACTGCAACTTTAGTGAAGCAAATTTTCTTGGAGAAAGTTATTAACTGAGGAAAAAAGGGACAGTAATAGAATTACTATGTGTCTCTCTCGGAAATAGCTTGCCAAGCTCTTACTTTGACATATTTGTTAGTGCCATTTAAAGATGATTATTTGCCAGCATAGCTCTTAGTTGATCCTATATTTTGCTGCATTTGTTATCCAAAATATATAGAAGATATTTCTATTTATATGGTCTGCAGCTTGTTTTATAGGTTTTGGAAAGCCAGATCTGTGCTTTTTTGCTTGGATGTAAGTGCTTGTAAAAAGCAAAAGGTCTTGTGTACCATTGCCTGTTATGTGACTTTTTTAATAACTTTGCTTTTTTACAGGTGTAGTTAATTATTATCTACACTTTAAAATTTGTTAGAGGATTAAAAATGTTGATGTTGTGCAGTGTGCTGTGACAAAAAAAAGAAAAATTAACATAAAGCACTCTTAATATAAACTAAGGCGGAATTTTTGCCTTTGGAGATTCAAGTGAACTCCCTCCTTCTATAAAACTGTTCCAGTAAAAACATGTAAATCTTTTATTATACAGAAACTTGTATTAGATAAATACACGTTCTCTATTAAAATTGAAAATCACTACTTAATCCAGGGCTATCCTATGTTTTCTCACTATTAGTGTACAATAAAGTGCTTCAGTGCTTAAATAAAGTAAAATGAAACAAATCAAACAAACTCTTTGCATTCTAGTTCTGTTTAGCACAGTGTGTTAAAAGAAGAGAGAATTCACATTTTTGGTTTTGCTGCTTCAGTCAGGTTGGAAGATTGTTTTTCTGCTTCCTGTTAATCCAGCTCCAGAAGGAAAAAGCAGGCTAAATTTCGAGCACTCTGTAGGGGAGATGTACTTTGCTACCCCTAGTGTTAGAAATTTCTAACTCTAGATTTGTGGAATAAAAAGGACAAAATTCCAGCACATAAATAGAATAATTTGGATTGGAGGAGACCTCTGGACATCATCTTGTTCAACTCACTTCTGAAAATACAACTCAGGTTTCAGGCACATGGGTCTTTCCCTACCACTTGCATTGTGGAGGGAAAACTGTGAGAGCATTACAGAACCAAGATGAGGAGTAAAATTAAACCCAAGCAAATCAGTTTGTTTTATGTAGGATTTTCAATCCCATGGGGAAAAAATGGAACAAACAAATAATTATGCACAATCAGAAAATAATCATGTATGTACTGCAAAGGGCAGCACAAGAGGTTATTGAGAATAAAGGTACCACTCTCTTGCAAGTGTGGGCTTCCAGCTAACAGCAATTTACTTTGTTCTCAGGCAGGGCCCATTGGAAAAGACTTCTTGACAGATGCAGTCAAGCAAAGATTTTCTAGCTGGTCTTGCAGCTTCTCAGGTTCCCCAGTCAGAAGTTAGTTGCAGGTTTGCAACATGTGATTTTTTGGTGTCTTACTACATTTTGCTTACACTGTGTGTTGCAGGCAGATAGGATCTTGCTTTACCTGTGCTCTGAACACTATAAACAGATGAAGTCCCATAAGGGAAGCTGACTGACTGAGCCTAAACCCACTGAATCTCTGTAGGAGGCTCAGTCATGCTAGCACAGCCACAGGGCTTTTTTCTTATTTTTAAATCTTGGAAGGTGGACTGAGTGAGCAGGTTGGACAGCAAAATACAGTGCAAACATACCCATCACTCCCCAGAGGACCTGTGTCTGGGTTTCACCGCTTTGGTGGCTGGCAGACACAGTAAATTCTCATGGTCTGGATAAACTAAAATCTTGAAACTTGGCAAGGGTGCCAAAGAGAAATTAAAATTCCAAATTTCACTGTTCTATCTTGGATCAGCTCAAGGTCACAGATCACTCTTATTTCACAAGGCTTCATTATAACTGTTCTTAATATGTATCAGGATAGCAATTCATTTTTAAAAAGGAATTTATTTCTTCTTATTATGGGGTTTAAGTCTCTAGTTTAGGGAAATTAAGCTTATCTTTGTTGCTGTATCCCAGGAGTTTTTATAACTTAGTCAGCATATAGACACAGAGGTTCTATCAATAGAACTGTACACATGCACAAACATATTCATGATTATATACCTGTAGAAACAGTAAAAAACCTGCGTCTTATGCACCTGGCCACTGCCCATTAGTCCAATCCAGTCTCCAGGACTTCTACTAACTTTCCATAAGAACCTCCAAACAGCTGCAGATGTATTTTCTCCTTCTCAATAAAATATGGGGGATTTACCCCAGTGTTATCCTCTGAGGCCCAAGTCAAAAAACATTTCAATACAAATTGTGAGTACTCCTTGCAATAAGATGACGTCTAGCAGTCTGTCAAATTTTGCAGCCTTGCTAGTAGGAGGAACTTCATGTTGGGACATACAATGCCTGTTTCTGATTTGTTTCAAGCTCAAAGTTAAGAACAGGTACTTTAAAATGATAGTTACATTTATCTACCATAAATGTTACTCATGTATTTGATTCCTTTTAAAATACAGGGTAAATTTAGCCCAGACACTGTCAGTGAGGTCAAACCTGCTTACACTCTGGTCAAATTTACATTTATATTTCTTGGTCTGCTGGCCCACAGATTACCAGGGAAAAATCTAGAGGCTACAAGAAAGAGGAAAGTGCCAACATTCACTCCAAGTTGCTAGCAGGCAAACTGGAATAGGAATGGCAGGCCAAAAAGGTGCAAGTTCACAACTTAATGCAGGTGGAAACATTGCTACTAGCAACGAAATAAGCCCCAACTGCTCAACATGGAGGAGCTCTGAAAAATTTGTGAGAATGTATTTGCCTCATTACCTTTGGATTTGTAACAAGGAGTGGGTACAATGCATTCTTCTTTTATGTGTGGCTTTGTTTTAGGAGTACAACCTCCTGTATGCATCCCCCTGTGATCAATGCAAAGGACTACACGGTATCGAAGGCCTTGTCCACAGGTCACAGTGCACTGGTGTAAAAAAAAGGAAAAACAAAAGGTGTGTATGATAACTCACAGGAGTGATAAATAAAAGGGAATATGCATATAGAAGTACGTGTATATGAGAGACCAAAACATGAGGCAGAAACACCCAACCTTGAATATAAACCGTTCATGATATTTGGTAGTGATGGATCCAGTGCGAAATTGTCAGAAAGTTTTGCCTTCTTGCTCTTCACATTAACTTGGTTTGGACATTTTGCTGCTGGAGTTCTCTTTCACTGTCACTCTTGCAGCATTGGTACTTGGCTTGTGGCCATCTGTCCCATATTGGATATGCTCAGTAACTCCCGGTCAGTTTCATCTGGAACCACTTTGCTTTGCTTGGACAAAATACTCAGGCTTATGGGTTAACAGGGGAGACACCTCTCTATTTTGGAACATGGCACCAAACAGAATGGAAAACTGGGTTTTCTTCTCTCAGACAATTTCTTAAGGTTTTTTGTTGTTGTTGCCAGTCTGCCCCCCCCCCCCCCCCCCCCCCCAATCTCTCCTATACGTTTTGTTTCAGAAGTGATCTCCTGTACAGGATTCAAAACTACGAACCAGTGAGGAGGGCTATAGATACTACCAATATTACTTGCCCTTAGTGGCTTTTATCCGGAAATTACTAAACACATTGCAATCAGTCAAAAAACCCTCCCCTGTGGGTGAGCTAATTTAGCTTTTAAAACCCATTTTATTTGCTGAGAAACTGTGGTGGTAAGAAACGACATAGAAGATTACGTCTTTATGTACAAAATCAAAGTACTTTTCTACTTTCATAGACATCTCAAAGGCAATTTACTTTTGTGCAAAAGGAAAGATGAGTTAGGAACACACAACTACAAGCATCAAACAGCAGAGCCATTTATGTCTTTATGTATTTATAGAAGTTTCTCAGCAATTCATGATACTCAATTTATGGCTGAAAAGCTGTAATAAAGATACACCATTGCATGCTTACTGATTTTGTTTTGTGCATGTCATTTATGTTCCCAGATTGTTATTAGTAGAAAGTCACTAATTAACATTACAGATCTGTTTTCTTTTTGCATCATTCTCTTAATCATGTTAATCTTACTACTATATTATTCCTGAGTATTTACTTTACAGTTAGACAAATTACCTAATTTAAAACAGAGGTTACGGTAATAAGGAATGAAAGTAGTGAATATTCATACTTCCACAGGTTCAGTAAACTGTAAGTTAAGACATATTCCTACTGTGTTGAACATAAAACCAACAAAGCTAACTTGATTACCGGAGACCATTCCTGAGCAAGCCATTTTGGGCAATCAAATATATTGCAAGGCTGGACAACAGGCATCTTTGGAGTGTACATGCATTTCCATTCTTCCACAGGGCTGATATGTCCCTGAATGTCTTCTTCCACACATGAGACACTGCGGCTTTGAATGCCCCCACCACAGGATGAGGAACAGGCAGTCCAGGGTGTACTTTCCCATCTGGGAAAAACAAAGAGGCATCAGGAAAAGGAATACCTGCTACCTCCACGCCCACCCACACCCCGCAAATGCATAAACTGCTGTCTGCAGGAGGGATTTTTTTTCTGATTAATGTCAGTAAAATTTAATCATATATGTATTTTCATAAGTGGCCATAACAGCAAAACACCCTCATGGCTGCTTTTTTTAAGTCACAAATTAGTAATACGGAATCTCTCTCCAGCTAGCCCAGTGACTATGACCACAGAAATTCTAAATACTTTAAACTTCATTCTTTCCTTATTTTCTTTAATCATATCTTCACAATTTGTCATTTTCTGAGGAGTCTTTGACACGAGTCACTGGAAACTCAGTGTGCTGTGAAGTTGATGCTCTTTTTGTATAAAGGGAAACAGCAGTGTTTCTTTCCAGGGAAACAACTGAGATAATTGAGGAAAAAAAAAGATTGGAGGAAATTACAAAAAAAAAAAGACATGACTATACTGATGGGATGCTTGGCCTCCAAACAATAAACTACATGGACCTTGTTTCCTTACAGTTGAGGCAGTGAGGGGGACTGAGAAACCATCTTTTCTTTACAAATGCCATTTGAGATTGTAATGACAAACCCACACAACAATGTGCATTTTCTGAGAGGTATGCATACTTATGAGAATAATCCTTTTTTACAGTGATGCATATACAATAATGTATGTATTGTTCTACAAGTGTACATGTCCGTCCATATAAAGTAGTCTGGTATTTGTTCTCTTATATTCAAGCCATTGACACAGAGAGGATCTGGGACCATTGTAATCCTGTGCATGCTTGATGGTCTGATAGTATAAAAATGCATGTTCTGTCTTCCTAAAAATATTCCACAAAATCTTTTTTGTAGTTTTTGTTGTTGGTAGAGGTGTTTTTTTTTTTTTGTTGTGTGGGTTTTTTTGTTGTTGTTTCCCCCCCCCAAACAAATGTCCTTTCATAACTCCATTAGAAATAATGGTTGAAACAATTATTTTGCTCATAAGATGGTTCTGGGTTTTTTTGTTTTGTTTTTTTGTTTGTTTGTTTGTTTTTTCTTAAAAAATGTTTGGTTTTTTTGGTTATTTGGTTTTGGGGGGGGTGTCGTTTGTTTGTTTGTTTTGTTTTTTTTGAAAAACCCTACTTGTTTCCTCTTTCAGGCAAGAGGAAAAAATGTGAAAGGTGAGATTTTTTATCTCCCAGTTAAAGGAATTGTTTTTATTAAGTAACAATGACAGGATCTCTAAGATTGTATAGGAATATGGAAAATTTTTATTTTTTCCTCTGATTTTTCGTCATATCAATGTATCTTTTTCTTATCAGCTCCAGTATATATAAGCACTACCCAGCTACTGGCTGGAAGTGCCATAAAACTCAATGTGAAATGGCTTATGCTAATAGCTGTTTATGAATGGTAAAGCTACTGATTAATACTATGACTTATCACAAACAAGTGGTGAAACCATATTTACACCAGCCATATCCATTATTATGTGCCCAGCATGAGCCACGTTATGTCACAAATGGGTAATTTTTTAATTTTAGCAATGTTTTTAGTTCAAGTGTGTTACCTGTGGCTCTGCTGACCAAGTTTCCTAGCATACAGTGAAGGTTTTTCACTACCACAAATCTAAATGAAGAGGCCTCAGACTGAAACTCATGAACAGCAGTTATGGCTGCAGCCTGCCTGAGCCAGCTTTTCCCGATCATAAACAGTGATGGCTCCCTGGAGTCTTTGAGACAAGTTTCCAAATACCCTAGGCAACCTCTACAATACCAAGCAGCTTAAGTGTAGGCAATCCGGTTTGGTCCTGAGGCTTTTTGTAAGTGTAGGATAGGGAAGTGAAGTTTTTCTGTTGCACTGCTCTTAAAGTAGGTGTCTCAGGTCCTTTCTAGATACAAAAGGTGTGACACTGACCAAGAATTTGTGAAAGGAATTGATGGTGTATTAAAAAGAAGCACTGTATCTGCTGAACCATACCTTTCACTCTTTGTGATAAAATTCAAGGCTGAGAGGTTGCAGCAGGGAAATCTTGCAAAGATGTCTTACCAGATTTGCTCTCCCCTTCTGTGGTGTTTGTCGCTCTCCTTTGTCCCTGGTATTAGGTGCCAGTCTCAGATGTAATGCAGGTAATGCAACCAGGGCTTCTCTGGTTTGTTTGTTTGTTTTTTTTTGTTTGTTTGTTTGTTTGTTTGTTTTTTTCCTAAGCTCTGCAGGTGCAGAGGAAAGACATTTTTTATCCCCCTGACTTGGCCCTGGCTCATGCCAGCCTCATGGACTGTTCAGTTTCTGCTGCTTCTGAGGTCTGGAGAAGAGATGTGGGGAAGCAACAGTGAAACAGTAGAGGGAAAAAGGGGGGCAGAGGTCCCAGCCAGCAGTTGCAACCTGAGCAATTGATCCTGCAGGGAGGGGGTGTTAAAAGAGAATAGTACAGCGGCAAGAGTGGATGTAAGGGAACTGTAACAGGGTGAGATCAAAATCCAGAACAGCTTGAGAAACAGTCTCAGCCTTTTGATCATTTTCAGGGAACGATTTTTTTCTTTTTCTTTCAGTGTTACTGAAAGCCAAATACCTCAGGGCATTTTGATCCTTTATTTTGGATTTCGTTCAGCAGTGAAAAAGACTGCCTAGCTGCCAGCTCGGGATGCTTTTTCATTAAATACAGTCCATCCACTGTTAAGTACTGAGAATCATTCTTTGATATAAAATTGTTCTCTGTCTTTTGTCAATGTGCATGCCCTTTGTACACAACAGTAATAAAATCTGTTTTATTCAAAGCTAGAGAGTTAAAAGCCTGTATTAATATTCTAGCCTCTATACTCCTTAGTAACAGAGGTTTATTTCTTGAGGTTAGGATATATGTATGTGATTTTTTAAAAAGCAAAGAAGAGAAAAAAGTGTTTTCCAAAAAAAAAGGAATTAGAAGGAGGGATACATTTTTTAAGTGTATCTTGTGAGTATTTGGTGGTAATGACTGTGTGTACATAATCATAAGCACTTAACTAAGGAAGAGAAAAGCCTAATCCAAGTGGCATGGATCATTGATAAAGGGTTTGAACATGAATTGCAGTGACAAAGCTTGGCAAGTAAGCTGCTCTCCTCCTTGTGTTCTCACTCATAGTTTGTGGTGGGTCCATGATTTGGCTGGGGGCTCTTGAATGGGAAATATGCTGCGTTTGCAAACTGATGCTGAAAGATCTCTGCATTAGGCCTCACCATGGTTCGAGGGAGGTTGTTTCCTCACTAGGATGAGACTAACAAGTTGCCTTGGGGGCTATTTCTGTGATTTCATCCTCTATGACACAATAAATAAATGAAGAAGAAAACACAGCACAATACACATCCAGGTGGTATTTCAAAACCAAAAGGTTGTTATCCTTCAGATACCAAACATTTTTATCAGCACCATTCTTATTCATTGCTGTAAGAGTAATTGATATGAGATTATTTTCATGAGAATTTCAAATCTTACATGGAACAGGTTGCACAAAGAAGTGGTAAATGCTCCATCCCTGGCAGTGTTCAAGGCCAGGTTGAACAGAGCTTTGGCAACATTGTCTATTGTGAGGTGTCCCTGCCCATGGCAGGGGGGTTGAAACTAGATGATCTTAGGGTCCTTTCCAACCCTAACAATTCTATGATTCTATGATTCTATGATTAAAGGCATTTTAATTGTGAGATAATGATACAAATCAGGCCGTCATCCTATTCCTGATCTCTGATTTCTTAGAAAAGCCAATGGATTAATACACCTGGGGAAGGCATTAGCACGGGTTTGCAGGATCAGAACACAACACTGATACTGTCTAAACCCAAAACCTCACAATTTATAAGCATGCAAGAAGCAGCAATTCAAGACAGAAAGTCTGATAGCTCATTACAAAGTCAATGGTTATAGTTCTCTTCAGAAATGTTTAAAGGGAAGAAAAAGGAAAGGTGGGAGAGAAAAGAGAAGGTGGGGATGGAGCATAAGGAGAGGAAGAAAGGATCCACACACTCGATAAGTCTGCATTGCTGTTTCAGCTAGAATATTGTTTCAGTTCTGCATCAACAAAATTTATAACAGGTCAAGACTTGAATATCTCTGGGTTATTCTGCAGGAGTCCAGAGCAAGAGAAAAGCAGCAGCTGTTAACTTAGTTTGAGAGCAAAGCAGAAAAGCAGAGAAGAGGAAAAAAGAAGAAAATGTATTTGTTAATCCTAGCATCTGTTTGGCTGTTTTACATACCGAGGAAGGGGATGGTAGAGGTCATAGGGCATGATCTGCTTGTATCCATCACTGTTAGGAACAATAATGCCAACCCTCTGAGTAGAAGGTATACATAATAAACACTAAATGATTAAATTATACAAGTTCTTTTAAACAATATAAAAAAAAAAAAAAGCCCAAACAAGATATTTTACCTAAGTTGCTATCACATTTAAACCAAAGCTTATGGTCATATCCTACTGTTTCTGAGTCATTCAAAGAATAAACCACTGACTAACCCTTTATTCTTATGAATATATTACTTTCTGACTGAGAAGCAATCCATTACCAGAAGTGATCCAAATGAGTTGTCCAAATATTATTTAAATTTATGAGGTTACTCTCTGCCATTAAAAAGAAATCTATACTTAACACTGTCTTGGAGCTTGTATTCAAAGTCACTGAAGACAATAGAACTTTTATCTGCTTCAAAGAGGTCTGGATCAAGTTATTTATGTTTATTTTATATCAAGTTATTTATATTTTCCTAATTTAATTATGGTTGTTTCTGCCATCCAGATAAAAATTTCTGCTTTTACACAGGTTGGGATTAGAAATTTGGAGAATCCCAGTGCAAGAGTTCAAATCTTTAATTTTTGTCTCTCCACCTTAAATCAGTTCAATTTCATTCATCTTCAGAACCTGCTTCTTTATTTGGATTTTTCTGGAAGAAAGAAAGAACTGGAGAAAAGAGTAACATGCAAGGTTGGCTTGATTTTTTTGGTGGTGTTGTGATTGGTTAGCTTGGTTTGCTGTAGTGTTTATTGGTGTAATATCTAAATAATGCAACATCCAAAGGTTATAGAAGGCTATAGCATAGATAAGATGTAGCAATTATCTGAACCATTGTCATGCCAGTTATGTGTGAAATGGATGTCACTTGACTTGTTGGCAGCAACAGGATCTCACTGAATTGCTAGTCTGGAATTTCGTCTTTTGTCTGCACATTTTATAGATTTTGACTCGAAATACCTCTAACCATGCTGTCTCCAAGTTATTAATCAGGCATACCTATTAATATTGAACAGATGACACCAGAGGACCTCATCTGTCAGTTTCATCAAAGCCACTGCACAACAGAGGACTTGGATGGGGCGGGTGGGCAGAATCATTAAAGAGTGAATGCCAATTGCATAAAGATAAAAACTGTGTCCCTACCCAAGCTACAGAGAGATGAATCTCTACAGATAGAGGAGGCTGCTATGGATTTCTGCAAGGGGGAAGCAGCAAAGGAGAAGGAAGGGAGAAAGTACTTGTCATCCTCAGCACAGTTCATTGAAGAACACTGTATTCATTCAAAGAAGTCTTGTCATCCTAACGGCAAAGGGGTCTATTCTCCTTTCAGTCAACAGAGTTTTTATGTGCATAACTCGTCCACGATAGCAGAATGGATCCCATTGTGTTTTCACAGTGAGGAGTCAGTGCCAGCTCAGTGTGCTGGAATTTTCCAGCTAAAGCAAGGGAAAACACTGGAGCCCTGGGAGTGTGTGATGGGGACTAGACAATTGCCTCTAAGATTAGCAGCCTCTGTAACCACAGTAGGACTCTGTATGAGTATGCATATTTGCATCTTCAGAGAGCTGCCTGTCTCCACAGAAATCTAGGAGAGGTGATTCTGGAACTCAGAAACTTTGTAGAAGACAAACGGGTTATTTAGAGTATAGCCAATGAAGAAGTCTTTTCAGGTTTAGCTTGATGGGTAAATGCCTCAAGAAGTGTGAGAAATGGTGTACTAGTATTTTAAGATGGAAGAGGACTTTTTCTGAGGTTTCTTTGGTCATGCTTTTGGGGATCTCTGCTGCCTCCCTGACTCTCCAACTAATGCTGTTGAAGTTCCATTCCAAAGCCTTTTGCACTTTCCAGCCCAACAGCTTACTGAAGAGCAGTTGGAAAAAAGATTGATATACCACCACATTCAGAAATGAAATAATTATAATATAAAAGTATCTACTGCCTAAGAAAGAAACAGATTTCAAAACATTTCTTACTCATTGCAGTGAGAAATGTTTTCTTTCTAATAAGCATGATCTGGATGCATAACCCAGTTCTACATGCATTAGAATGCATAATATCTAAGGCCATTCCAATGGAAATAACCATACCACATTCAAACACTGTTATGAAGATTAAATAACATTTACAAAGCACTAGATTAATATTGTCATTGGAAAGGTTTGACCCTCAAAGAATTTTGCATACATAAACTGCATTTCTGCAAATGGTATAGAGATCTACAGAATTACTGATCTACAGAATTACTGATGCTGTCCTTGTGCATTTAAAAGGGGCTGCCAAAGGCTCTCATTCTGTTAGTGTAAGATAGTGATCCCTAACAACATAAGTCCCATAGTCACAGAGAGGAAAAAGACCTCCACAATAATACAAAATGGCTTAATTTATGACTTTAAAAATCGTCTTGAAGATACAACCTAAGAGCAGATGGGCATTGTACCATTAACAGAAACTGCATCTTTCCAAGCTAGTCTCATGTGTTTTTTTGGTGTGTGTTCCAAAAAAACCCACCCCAAGACTAAGTTACTTATGTAAAAAACCTTTTAGAGATTACATTGAAAACACCTTAGAGGTTACTTTGGTATAAACCTGTACTTTCTGACTGGACAAAGTGGCTTAAATTCTATGAATCTGTCATTCCAACATACTTCTATAAAAGACTGGAAAAGATCTAATTTATGGACTCTGTTCACTGTACATTATTCAGACAATGCAAACAGGAACATTTGCTAAATGAACAGAGCAAATAATAATTCCTCACTACACTGAGATTTCTGGCTGATAAGGGAGTAGATAACAGGACTCACTCACACAACACCAAGAGCAAATCTACTTTGGCAGAAGCAGGAGTACAAAGCAAATTATTCTGAAGAGATGCTGAGTCTTATATGTCTGAAATCTTCCATGCATTTCAGACCAACAAGTTGTAGCACATACTCTGCAGATTGGCTTGTTTTCCTCTGGAGTGCTGGCAGCTTCAGTACAGTTGCTCTTCCAAGGCATATGTCCAGCTGGAGCGGGAACTGCACATGCCAGAGGTGGGTGTGCTGCAACCAGGTCTGCCATCTCTGCAGTTGGCTTTCCCATGGGATGGGTGCCCACAGCTGAATTCCTTGAAAGTCACACTTGGCGTGACACCCTGGTGGTAGCTCCTTTTCCTCTGCAAACTACCCTTTTAGCACAAACAACATGCACAAATGCATTTCTCCTGTATCTCCCCAGTGACTGCCTCAGACAAGGTGCCAGAAATTCCCACCTCCTTCTTCTGCATGCTCACAGCTCCACAGCTCTCAGGCCAGTCACCCTCTGAGCCAAGCAGGGGCACAGTCTAGAGCAGGGAGAAGAGTCAGCAGAGAGAAAGGACATATCCCCCTGAGATGCTTCAGAGTGGTCTAACCTGCATGGGGACAATGTGCAGAGGATGGGCAGGTGTGGGTAGGGCAGCCTGCCCCTCATGTGCTGGTGCTCCTGCACACGGCCATGCCAATACCTAGCCTCTGCAGGACACTAGCACGTCTCTGGCTCATAGCCTTCACTTCTGCTGTGGGCTCTGTTTTCCTGGGGGTTTCATACCTGCAATGCTGCAGCCGCAGCACTCTCAGGTGGCTAGATCTGCTACCCATCTTTCCTGATGGGGACTCACTGAAATCTGTCAATCTTGAGAGTGAAGGTCTGCATGGCAGGGACTATGCCATCTAAGCAATGGTCCAAAGTATGCCTAAGATATTAATAGCAATCAGCAAATAATAATAAAAAATTGAAGCAGCTTAAGTGAGCTGTGGAGAGCTAATTCATTAAGTGAAAGGCAACACTTGGAAGACCTGAAAAAGATCATCACAAAAGATAAGATTTTGACAGCTGATGCAACATCTGCTATCAGCTCCTTCTCCAACCACAACTGTATCTGGAGGCATATGTACTGCCATTCCTACTTGAATGTATCATGATGTCCAGCTCAGCCTTCCTGAAAATTTGTCTGATGGTTCCTTTCCTGCTCTTCTGAATTGTTTTTGGCCTCCTAAACTCCCTTCTACACCCCTTTTTCATGCATAATGCATCACTTTAGCTTATTTCTCTGGCAACCTTGGTAGTTCCTTGCTAAATTCTGAACTGTTTCAAAAACACCCTCCATAAATATACATTTGGGATTACTAATGTTTGTTGACTGTTTTCTCATTTGCAGGCAGCATAGTTTTGCTAATAGCTGTCTCACTTTTCCAGCACATGCAACTTCAACCATGCTGATGAAAAACGTTTGTTCACCCTCCTGCTTTGATGGCTAAAATCTTCATGTCTCATCTTTCCCCAGAATGTCTATCTTTCACTCTCTTTAGGATCATCTATATGCATATGGTTGGCTAAGTTTCCATTTCCCTACAGAAATTGAGACCGGACCCAGCAATCAGAGGCAACCAAGGTTCAGAGAGGCTTTCTCAGCCCCCTGTAACAAATTAAGAACTGAAGTGAAAAAATGCAAATCCACAGAGATGACCATTTGCCTGAAGCAGAGATGAAGAAAGGGCATTATCATGACCAGTGACCCACATCCATGCCGGGGTACTGTCAAAAAGCCCAGTATCTGTGGTAACTATGGGATATTTTATGTGAAAGAACATTCAAAACAAAGTTTAAATCTATCATATGGTCCAATGGAGGGTAATAACAATAAATGAGTCATTGTGTCTCAGACCCCTCTCATCACTGCAGATCTATGCCTGCTACTGTGTAAATCAGAAAGTGCAGCCTGTCTTTTCAGGAACATACCAGCACTCCAGTTCTGTTCATCTTCCAGAAAGAATGTAGTGAAAATGAGAACACTGCATTGACGTGATACTTGGTTTATATCCCCTATCTAATATACCTTTAGGAAAGCTGATAAGCAACAAAAGTATGTGTTTGGCAATTTCCTGCTTCAGCTGTCAGTTTGCAATGAAGAGACCTCTGTTACTTATTAAGAGGATACTCTATGTTGTCTTCTAATCATGCATATTTACTCAATACCACCTCTTTCTCTCTTGAAGTAAACAGATAAAAGTTACCATGCACATGTCTTCCTGTTGCTCAGGAAATTGTGTACACTTTCACATCACCAAGTACACTGGGGACTTACTCAGGAGTACTTTGAATGGCCATAATATCCTAGCAGCCTTTTCTGTGCTTTTACGTGTACTTCATTATTCTTGTTAGAATAGCTAAAAATTAACAACCCCAAAGCACATTTTAATTTAAATTTCTCTTTGCTATGCCTGCCTCCACCACCAATCGGCATGAGTAGTTAAATGAGGAAGCCAAAATAAAAACTTTGATGAATAAGAAGAGGAGCCTTTTTTTTTTTGAAAAACTTAATAAACTGTGGATATCTGAGAATTCCTTCAGGTCCTTAAGCATTGAAAGTCTTGCTTGAACTGGAGACTTTCTCAAAAAACTTTCCACAGGTACTAACATTATTTCTGGTGGCAGGCTTGCAAATAATGCTCTAGGCAAATTCCAAGATTTTTGCCTGTGCAGGCAAGACTGGCATTATTGGCAAAGCGGTAAAAAGAAACCGACATGTTAGAGGCTTTCTAACATGAAACTTTGATACAGATGCTTCATGGAGTTAGAATCTTTGCTGAAGATGCTTTTATAAATCTTTATACACCATTGGAATCTCCTAGTAAAAACACCAGGAGATTTTGTGACTAAGAGAACCCCACATTAACATGCAGCAAAGATAGGCAAAAATAGAGGAAGCTGGTAAAAATGCAGAACAGTGTAGCTTGGAATGCCACTTAGAAGCTAAAGATGATATCTATCTAGAAGCAGCACTGATATTGCTCCAGAGAATATCCCAGTGAGTAGAAGAATGATGAGTGGGGTAAAAACCTTTTTCAGATTTGTAAAAACTGGTTTTTGGAGGAATGCTTTTGAGTTATGAAATAAATAGTATCTTCAGCTTATAGCACCTCAGAGTTGTCCTAATACCCAGCTAAGTCAAATCTAAAAAGATATTTTCTCAAAGCAGGAAAGAATTCTATTGACCTTTCTTTAGAAGATATCAGGATATCAGGAGGATACTGATGATAGCTATAATGCCTGCACTAAAACCTCCAGTCTGTGAAGTTTTGGACTATTAAAAGATTTGCAGTTAATTAAACATGTGAAACTTCAATGTTTGATTTTGCCACATAGAAGGGGAGTGGACTAGATCAAACTGGGTGCTACATCAGTAGATATTACACATATATTTGCCAGTTGAGTATAGACTGTTGTAATATCTTAATGGACTGTAAATAAACAGAATGTTTTTTTTTCTTTCTAACGCAGGGGATGGATACCAAGGAGGGTCGATGAGAGAGGCTGGACTGGGCATTTTTAGTGTGTAGGGATGAAAAGGGGCTTGGTGTCATAATGTGCAAGACACTAGTTACTGGCCTTACTTAGGTGGACAGGCCACCTTTACTTAATCCAGAAAAGGAACATGTATAAACCATATATGTTTGAGAAATAACCTTTCACCCACTGCCTGTCCTCTGAGTATGTGAGAAACTGGGTTTGCAGAAAGAGAAGTTGATTAATTTTTCACATTTGTTCACTCTAAGCTTTATTTATTACTCATGATGCCAGCAATGCTGCTAATTATTGCCATAATAACCATAATAAAGTAAAATGTTTATATGCACTAAGGCTGAAGAGGCAACTAATTGCAGGCCCACACAATACTCCTGGTATTCATTTAAACTTTTCTTTCAGCCTGCTCTTTGCTGAAAATTTTATTGTAAGCTCTCCTCCAGTAACCCCTCTCAGTTGCTTTAGTCAGTGCCACTGTGGTCTCCCATGATTATTTTCTGTGGCGTTCATTGACATACCATAGGAGCGGTCAGCAACCACTAATCAGCTACGCCTCAATGGAAAAATTAACATCTTTGTTTTATACAGGCAGAGCAGAGTGGCTCCTGCACAGCAAAGACATTGTAGAGCTTGCTCACTCACACTTCTGACCCTGTTGTTCTGCTTCACCTACCCTCTTCCTGACCATAAGAAAGCATCAGGATTCCAGAAGTTACCACAGATTTCCTCTGGTTTTCTGTCTGGGTTGTTGATTCTTGCAGTTCTTTACAAAGGCACTTCTGAAAATAATAATTTGCAATTTGGCATTCTGGGAGGACGTTTCCAAAAAGAGCCAATTCCCCTCTGTTACTGCTTGTACCCTGGGACAGCATAGCTGTACTTCTAAATAACTCTCCCTCTCCTCAGGGTATTTATATCAACAACTTTGCCTTGTTATGTCTTATATAAAACAAAAATTGCTTCCTGACATCTGTCCAGCTGTTATTTTCCCCTCCTCCCCTTTTCCTTCCATGTACCATCCTGACATCTATCTTACCATATGAGAATATGTTTATGTTATTTAAAATTAGTGGGAGAAGTATGGAAAATATTCATAGTACAAATTCCAAAGACAAATTACATATTTGACTCAGAATTGTTGGTTGTTTTTTTTTGTTTTCTTTTTTCTTTTTAATAGCAGCTTAAGCTACCCCCTCCCCCCTCCCCCCCCCAAAAAAAACAACCCAAACCAAACCCCAACAAAAAATCAGCTATATAAAATTACTTTCTCATTGGTACTGTGAGAGTGAATCTGACAGGTTCCATGTCTATTCACACCATTCAGCCATCTTTTATCTGAGACGTTGATATTCAGGCCTCTTACCTGATCATACCTGGCCTCTACTTTACTGACTTAAGTTTCAAACAATTCAAAGAAACTGCTTTTAATCTAATAAAATCACTGAGGAAAAAATGCAAGAGCTTTATTATAGTAACATTTCTAGTTGCAACTAGTTGTTTTGTTTGGTTGGTTTTATTTTGGTGTGGTTTGTTTTTTTTTTGTTTTGTGTTGTTTTGTTTCTAGAAAGTACTAGAACAAGAAAAGCCAGATACTGAACTTGAAAAAGTATTGCTAAAGGAAAAAATAGTCTTACTGAATTGTGGGAAAGAATCTAAGCTGAAAAATCACTTCTGAGCAGATTGTCAACAGGAAACACTTCTCACAAAGCGCTAGTGAAGCTGCATTCTTCATATTATATCCTTAATCCATCCTAATGAACTGTATGATAAAGTCTATAACTTAAAGAATTTACAATACAGCTGAAATGAAGTAGGATTTTGAGATTGGATATTTCCATTTTTTAATTATGGGACATTTTCACTTCAAATTTAAAACTGTATAAAAACATTTCTGGCTTTTAATTATTTGCAAACAGAATTACTGTTTTGTAAATCCTTTGTTCTCGTAAACACAAAAGTGTTGCAAAATGCCATACGCTCTGGGTAAATGTGTCTTCAGTGACAAAGAAACCTGAGTGTTAACTCCAGCTACGAAAGGTCAATGAACTTCAATGAAACTTTCTAGAAGAGGTAAAAACTATCTTGGGCTTGGTGTGCTTTGTTCTGCTCTGATAATGCCTAGCTAGTCTTAAGTTGGTATACGTGGTTTGGTAAGCAATCACACTCAGTCAGGTGGATACATAGTCACATAGATCCCCAAAGCATCATTCTCCTGTCTAGGACTTCTTTTTCCTGTGGCAATTTCCACCTATCTGAATGGCCATCACAATTTTTTAGTGACTTTAGTTGCTTGAACTCACTTTATCATAACTAGTCTAGAGGGAAAGGAACAGGTGAAAAAACGGCTTTAGGGCACCCTTGCATGCATCATTGCTGTGTTGCACTTGACCATCTTTTACCAAAGCCACACAAGAGGACCAAAAGGTTTAGATTACAAATACATGCTTGTGGTTTATGAGAGGCTTCAGAACAAAGGACTGGTTGTTTTTATGATATTGTTCCTTTTCTTATACATGGGAAATCTCACTCTGTGACCTCACTATTTTTACTATTAATCCTCTGAAGAAGAACACCTGGCAGGGGAGAAAAAAGGCATCTTTTTTGAGGGGCCAAATGTTATTGATACAAATTCACACATTACATTCTTACTTGCTGCCATGAGTGTAAGTATTCATTTTATTAGGAGAAAATTTAAAATACCCCATAAAAATAATGTCTCTAATTGTGATGAAAACCATTTCACAACATTTTTACACCAAGAATATGTTTTCTGTCTCACTAACATTTGAGAGACCTACATTGATCATGGGATGGTATAATGGACAATATGTTTTCTCACACTTTATAATGTTCAATGAGGCAAAACAGTATCTGATAGGAAGAAACAACCATTTCAAATCGGTTTGTGCAATGTGGAGGTGCTAAACAGAGGTCTTTTCCTACCCAGTACATCCTCAGGATGAGAAAGACATTGAACTACATAGGCTAAGTAACACTGTAAGCAACAGCAACAGAATCTTTTCCTACTTCTTCCTTTAGACACCAGTCTCTTTTAAAATTAGAGCTGACTGACCTTGCAGGACAAGGATCCAGATTACACTCTTGAAGTTTTGGCTTTGGCTTGATATTTTCAGGATAATAGTGACAGTATTGATCTGCTACTACCCGGCTGCTTCTCAAATCAAAACATTCAGCAGATGTTAGCTGATAACCTGCAATACACAGTGGAAAAAATAATATGTGATGTGATGGTGTTCTTCCTGTCTTTCTCTGCAGTGCATGTAAGTTCTGTGATCAAGGACCTTTCAGTCTCATGCTCTGCTGGTGAGGAGGGGCAGAAGAAGCCAGGAGGAAGCAGAGACAGGACACCCAGCCCAAACTAGCCAAAGGGGTATTCCATACCACAGCACATCAGGCCCAGCATATAAAATGTGGGGGAGTCACATGGAAGGGAACAATCACTGCTCTGGTCAGGCTGGGTATGTGTCAGTGGGTGGTGAGTAACTGCATTGTGCATCACTTGTGTTTATTGTTTTTTTTCTTTCCCATTTTATTTTTAAAGCTCTCTCCTTGTTATTTCCCTTATTATTATTATTATTGTTATTATTATCATAATCATCATTATTATATTGTACTTTATGTTAGTTATTAAGCTGTTTTTAACCCATGGGTTTTACATTCTTTCTGTTGTCCTCCCCATCCCGTGCTTGAGGGGAGTAGGCATGGTGTAAGCAAGTGGCTGCGTAGTGCTGAGTTACCAGCTGGAGTTTAACCACAACAGTCAATAAGGCTGCTCACAGGAACAGGGACAAATGGAGACATCTTCCGATTCCAAAGCTGCCCCGAATCCCATCAGCCTTTATGTTCGACAGCTGTAGCATAAAACGCAGTCATGAATATCAAAATATATTTTATGTACAGAGCCTGGTATGATGCTGAAAAATCTACAAGCTACTATCACTGTTGCTACATTCCTCCTCTAGTTCATATGTAACTACTTTCATTTTCTGATTTTGCCCTTTTAAAGGTGAAAATCTCAGTGCAGAATTTGGGACAGATCCTGTACGCAGATGACTGTTTCTGGAATACGGTGGTAATTCATTACCTCCTCCACAAGACGCTGAACAAGGAAAAAAATCAGTTTCCCTCCATCGGTGAACGATAGGCTGATAGAAGATAAACTGAACTGAACTGTCGGCAGCACCAGCATAGCGGATCTGAAAAAGACGTAATGCCAAAGAATGAATCTGACATAACTATTACAAAGAAGCATTCTGCCACATGCATCTTGCAGTTTTTGAGACATCTTGCAGCTACATGAAATATCAGAGTTATTTTGCAATATAGAAATGAAATGCACAAAACAGAGAACAGATTGATGGCAAAATCTTGGCTGCAAAACAGCCAAATAAATCTCTGAGCATAATCAATGGCAATTCTAACCATTTAGAAACCATGTTCTGTAATAATGAATGCATGGTAAACACATGGTTAGTGCTACTGAATAATTTTATGGGGACAGATGATACGGACTTTAATCCATCAGAAAATCACCTAGCACTACCTGCTGTCCCTGCAACATTGACACGGATTTTAGATCATTAATATTGCCCAAACACCTTCTGAGACCATGTATATTACATAATTCACAGTGAAAAATGGGAGGCTGTGCTGTGGGAAATAAAAAAGCACGCGAGTTCTTATTTAAGATGTTTTGTTTCTGAGGTGAGTCTTTTATTCTTCTTTGTGGTACTCATTATTGTGGTACTTATTATAAGTAATCCTCCTGCTTACTTCATTCTGGCTGCAAAAATGCTCCTTTCAGTCATAGGCATGGACTTTTGGCTGGGCTAAGTACATCTTTGGATAACATTATTTAGAGCTTACAAGCACTTCTAACTTACAAGCCACCTGAGCTTCTAGCGCTTTGTATTCTGAATAGAATTCCCACATAAACAAGAGTTTGCAGTGAAAGAAATGCAATAGGAAAAAAAGACCTTCACACTGCTAAAGCAGTACCACTTGTACCTGGCCCAGGAAAAAACTCCTTCCTATTTGATATCTGTGCTGATTAATACAGTTACGGGGACTTTAAAATCTCTGCTGGGCATCCCTTGTCCCTCTAAGCCTCCGCATGAGCAGCTGGCAAGGGAGGAACAACAATACTGCTACTAAAAGCCTCTCCTAGTCAATTATTTGTGCTAGTATATAATATATCTGTGTTCCTTGGGCACTTTTGCATCAATGGCATGATGCTATCACTGGAGAAAAAACTGCCAAACCACAATCAGAAAAGATGGACCCTTCTTGAGGAGCAACCCTCCCTGCTTTTTTTTTTCAGACAGCTTAAAATATTTCATCACTGCCTCCTTTTTCTTTTCCTGTGTTTGAAACACATTGCCATGCTTTCGGAACACTACTTTTCAATCTGTGTTTCCTTTTCTGTCTTTCCAAACGCCAAGAGGCATGGTCAAAGAGCAGACTTGAAACAGAAGCAAAAATACAACAAATTGAGCTGAACAGCATAATCTGGGTTGTTTGTTTTGTTTTCCCCTGTAGATGGACAGAAACATGATTACAAATCAAACTATGTCTTGAAAAGAAGGAGGCAGGCAAAAATAATGCAGGTTATCTTGATGTCTGTAAGAGGTCTAGCCCACTGAGACCAAGGCTGCCCTTTTCTAATATGAGCAAACAGTGACATAAATTCCCAACAGAAAAAAAAATACAGCTGTAGCAATACAGCTTCTTCAGCAAATGGGAGGCTTTTTCCATGGATTAATATCATTTGAGACTGTGTGTCAAAAACAGGATATCGAATTCCTTGTTCAGGGACGGTGCATTAATCACACACTTCAGAAGGGCCTTTCTGGCCTCATGAAAGCCTCATGCATTCTTGGGAAAAATGTTTTGTTGTGCTGGAAACCATTCGGGGAGGGCTCTGATCTGAATGTGCAGAAAAATATTCACTGGGAATTCTGCTCTTACGCTTTGTTTTTCAAGTATCATCAGTGATTCTTAAACTCAGAAGATCTACTCAGCAGTATGATCTTCAGTGAATCATGAAGAACAGATCAAGAGCTCACACAGAGCCTACTATAAAAGGAAGAGGAAGGAAAAGCATTCACATTAAAAAAAAGAAAAAGTAAAAAAAAAGAAAAAGTAAAAAAAAAAATCAGGAAGACAGAAGAGTTTCTCTCCCTGCAGACTATTTCTGCATGTCTGCAGAATTATCTGCCTGTTTTGACACAGAGAAAAGACAGATGTGCATCTTTTCCAGCCTGAAGTCACACATGCAGCCATGACAACAGCATAGGTGGAAAAGGGCTACAATGAGCTACAGCCATGAGCTAAAACGGCACAAAACAAGCAAATGAAAGAAGCAGGCACAGTTTCATTTATTTTTTTAAGGAGTACTGTAAGCAGAAGAGGAACAATATATAGTGAATCCACAGAGCAAAAATTTCTTTTTGATTTTGTTTGATAGTTTCTTAAAGCTAAGATCTTGATCCAGGAGAAAATATTAGTGACTGCTTGAGCCTTGCAAAACTCAAAGTGAGACTTGATAGCTAAATACTTTAAGAACTGTCCTGGATTTGCTGAACAGGGCCAACTTCCACACATTGAAACACTCCCTGCTCTGGAGTATGGTGAAATTTTTACCCTTGCAGCATCTGCAGTACCCTGCTAGCTATGAGAAATGCCAGAGCTATAAAAAGAGACGGTCAATGCTTGAAAATCTCGAGTTAGTCCTTTAACTAACTGATTTTAGCAGTCATTTTTGTCACTGACTCAGAAAAAGTGACAATTGTTCATTGTGCTTGCAAATAAAATTGTATCTAAATTTACAGTATCAGACAGCAGAAGTACTACAGAATTGCAGAGCACTCAGCCCTGCATGTGTGCATTGCAGCCTCCTAGAAAGTATCCTTGAATTCCTTTAGGTTGCAGAGGAGTTTAGAGTATTCCAAACACCAGAGCAGTCCTCATCATTTTGTAAGAGCCAAGAGAATACCACCAGTCTTATAAAGAGTTGGTTAAAATTAGAATCCTCAGACTATCCACCAAAAATTAACTGTCTATCCTACAGTCACTATAAAATCTTTTTTTCTTGTAGAAAAAAACTCAGGAAAAAAATAAATCATCGCTTGTACCCTGCCTTTTAAAATTGATTTTGTAAATTGCTGTCTGGGATGGTGCAACAGAGGCACAAGCTATTGCTCAGGTGAGGTGTGGGATTGATAAAATGCAGTATTGATTTGGGGAATAACTACAGAATTTTGAATGAAAACAGCAAACTCATAATTTGAACACGAAAGCAGCATAAACTTTTCGAATTATTCTGATCTGTCAGATCTGTCAGACTGCAATATATGGCTTTGCTTTTGTATTATGTTGTTTTTCCTATAGCCCCAAAATTTGATTAGTTCACATAAAACCAACCAAACAAGTAAAATCTTCCAAAGCCCAACCATTTCATGCTTGATTTTGGCAGCAGTTGTGAATTTTAATGAGCAGTGATAACCGAACAGTCACCAATGTTAATTGTAGGGTTAAGCCATAAAAATGTATTCAATGAGATGTTCTCATCTTATGAAATTGTGTGTGTTGGAGGAGGAGGAAAGACCACTTCTTTCTTGTGTGTGTCTCAGACTGGGGTTAGGGAAAGGGAATTATTATTGCATGCCATCTTTTGTCTTGCAAACTTTGATCTGGTATATTATGATTTAACTCCATGCCACCATGCTTATTAAAGATGTTATAATGGATTTTTCCATGTTATTAGTACAAATGATTTCTGCAAGTGCCAAATTCCAAATCGTTGGGTTTGATTTATTAATGAGTAGTGCAGTGTTGAAATCTTTTAAATGACATAAAAATAAACCAGGGATAAGATGGGACCTTGAGCAACCTGGTCTAATGTGTTGTATCCCTGCCCATGGTAAGGGTTTGGAACTAGATGATCTTAAGATCCTTTCCAAACCAAACCAACCTATGATTCTGTGATTCTAAAAAGGCAACTTTTCCCACAAAAAATCATTAACAAATTCATCACAGAAATATGTGTTAAAATGATGAATGCTGAACAAGCTGGCACCAAAGTTTCATAGTACTTAAAACTGACTGATTTCTGAATTAGATAGACTTGGGGAATTCATACGTGATGCTAGAAAAAAGTTGCAGAAAAAGAAAAGCTCAAAAAGAACAATTTGTCAGAGCAATAAAAAAACCCACAACAAACGACATACCTATGAAATTGTGTCTGTTCCCTCAAATTAAAACCTATCAGTAGACTTCAGATCAGCAGTATTCTAAAGAAATATGTAGGAATAATGGTAATACATCTCCACATCCAAACAGATTTTACCCAGTAGTTTCAAAGCCTGAAGAGCACAGGAATGCAAATCATGTGTGAACACATCTGGCCTATTTTTCAAACCACAAGAAAATAGATACAGAATTTTTTGATGTTTAGCTTTTTTTTTTTCTTCACATTTTTGGAAGGGATGCATGAAACTGCAGACCAATAATCTTTACGTCTGTTATGGGGTCAGTAGACAAAACAAAAATAAAGAACAGAACTCAAAGTTGGGTGCTTGAGAAGGGCTATGCTTCCTGAGCATTGTAGCTTGCTTTGCTGAAGATTCATGAAGGGTACTGACAAAGGTAAATTAGGTACCATTTTTCTTCTAAGTCCCTTACCAAAGGTGCTAGACAAAATTCACATGAGTTAAGAAGATCCTCCTATGGACAAATGACTAGGTAACAGAGAATGGTCCTATAAACTGTTCCTGGAATGGACGAAGGACATGTGGAATACCTAAGGGATGTTTGCCAGGGCATGAGTTGTCAGCCGCATCCCCAGAGGAGCAGGATAAAGGGTCAACCATGAGCTGACCAAGTTTGCTAAAGTGAAAAATTATGAATGATAACTAAAAATGAAATTGCCTCTGAAAGCACTTGAAGAGAGTCTGTGGGTGAGAATTAAGGGGCAGGCTGGCAGGGGGGATACTGTTGTAGGTGTCTGTTACAGACCATCGGATCAGGGTGAGGAAGTTGACGAGGCCTTCTACAGGCAGCTGAGAGCGGCCTCACAGTCACAGGCCGTGGTCGTCGTGGGGGATTTTAACTTCCCTGATGTTTGCTGGAAGGACCACTCGGCAACCCAGCCACAGTCCAGGAGGTTCCTCCAGTGCATGGATGATAACTTCCTCCT